CCCCCTCAAGAGACTTACTTACTATACAGTGAAAAGCATTGGGACACTGAATTAAAATCTGATATTTTGGCTATACCAGACAAGAAGGACTAGAATGATTTGGATTGAACATGCCCTGAAAAAACAGCTTTAAAACCACTGTTTTTAAGTGGAAACAGACAAATACCTAAGAAGATAATTTTGTCTTCAGTGCTTTCAATGTGTGGGAACAGGTCAGAAAGCTGTGTCAAGACTGGCTCTTCTCCCGCCTCTCAGTGGGTCACACGTTTAATTGAATGAATTCCCTACAGTCCTTCAGCAGAAGCATGAATCGGGACCACTCTTAACCTCTCTTCCTTTCACATATTCCCCTGGAGAGGTCGTGCTCAAAGCTTCCACTTGAAAAAAGCGTTGAAGTCAAGTTTTAACCCACCTTAGCACTACTAAACATAAGCAGGAGAGATTATTCATTTTGAACAGGTGGCACTAATAGAACAGGGAAGGAAATATAGGAGCTGCTGAGGTGACAATAACACTTGGAAAGTTAATATTTTATCACGAATGGGTACAAACACCTCTCATGATAAAAGAACATAAAAATAGATGCCCCCTACGTACACCAATGAGAGCTGAGAAGAGACGGATTCAGTTCTTATTAGGTTTCCAGGTCTTTGTGTCTGGCTGTGCCATTCAACACATTTACGCTTTCCAACGTACAGACATTTGTGCTGAGCGCTGCATGACCCAGAGCTGGAAAGCATGTGTCACCTCGCTCAAACCACCTGGGTATTTCATCTGAGCCTGGTGCAGGAATGGGAGCTCTGCAGGTTTCAGTGAAGTACAGCGTGTGAGAATGTTTATCGGTACACGCAGGGCTCTGTTTGCTGTAGGATTGGCAGTGGCTGGCATTAACAGTGAGACCAGCAATTGTTGCATATTATGGAAACAATAGGCAATCTGTGCAGGAGCAGCTGATGGCGCAAGAATATAATTTGTAGAGACAGTCTGAATACCTTAGTCTACACACACAGCAATCATGCCAAGATGGCAGGGCTCCAGGAAAAATCCTGCACATGCTGGAGTGTAAAAAGGCCTCACAGACCCAATATTCCCAGTCAGAGAAGAGATTGAATACCATTCTGAGGGACTATGAATATCTGGGTTGATTCCAAACTTGTCAAAGAGTTATGATGAGATATCTTAAAAGTAATGTGATAAAACGACTGGCTGAAAAATGAAGAGCTGTCGGGTATATGAGCCCACATGTGTCAAACACTAAGGCTTAAGATGGAATCTAGAGTTGTCTTTATTTATTTTAGCCTTAAATCCAAATTGCTTCTCGTCATGAAACTCAGTAAATGTTACTCTCTTCCTAAAAGGCACTGTTCTGGACAGCAGCCTGAACAGTGTGGTGTTTGTGTCCCAAAAAAACAACCGTCCGACAAGCTGTAACAAAAGAAAAGGGCTACTATCTCTTATTCTAGTTGCTTTGTATTACAAATCAGGATTGTGCGAGAAGTGCCATTGGAAGAAACAGAACCGGATGGATGTTAGGTGGCACTGTGGCAAAGTGTTTTTTACAAGCGGGTAGATGGATCTTTAAGCACTTTATAGCTATGATTTAATAAAAAAAAAAAAACGATCCGCTGGGAATATGGCATTTTAAACACGTCCGAGTTTTAATCAGGGAGAAAACAGAGATTCCGTTTTTTTAACTCACACGAAAAGATACAAGTTTTTTCATGATATGGTAAAAAGCCAAAAGTTACGTTCTCAAACATGAACACTTTCACAAACAGAACACTTGGGGGCGCTCCGGTTCTATGAGCAGACAGCGTGATGGAGTTTGTCTTGTAGGTGACCATTCCGAACAAGTTAATCCTTTTCAAAACAGCGTTTTTGAAATATATGGTAAAACCAGATTTAAAGATGCAACTATGGTACATCTTTAGAAATTCTTCTGGAAAACCACTGCTGAAGGTGCCAAACATTATAAAGCAAAGAAGGTTTAAAAAATCATATTGTTTTGTTTTGTCAAAGCAGCCTAACAAACCGTCTTCTAAAATAGGAACACATTACAGTACAGTTCAATGAGGCACGATACTCAGTTTTTTTTCAAGTGGGACTCCGAAAAAGTATTTTTATCCAGCAATTATTTCCTAATAAAGTAGTCCGACTTAAAAAACGTGATCCTCATTGCTGAAACCCAGTAATGTTAGATGGAGAAACTCCAGTATCACTGGCCATTTTCATGTGATGTACAGTATATGATGTAATTGTCAATTGAGCTTTTAGTTATCCGTGCAGGGCTGTGGTCACCTAAATAAGAAAAATAAATCTAATTAGAAGCGTGCATGTACAGTATGACTAAACTTCTGCTCACTGTTTTTTTGTGCATTCGTCGGATGTTAACAGATACTGTTCGACAAGTATGTTTGCTCAGCAAACGTGTTTCTGAAAACATCTCAGATATGAGCACAACTCCGACATTCTGTCTTTCCCATCCAAATCCATCTAAGCGGAATCACTGTAAACGCTGCAGTGCTGGCAGCTCCAGTCAATGGCCTGCTTTGTTCCCCTAGGCTCTCTAATTCCAAGACGGCGGGGTTAGACGGGGGGTAACGGTGTTGTGAAAGTATTCCAGCTATGCTTTCTCAATTTCAGATGCGGAGGCTCGGGTTACCGCTGGGAGGTGAGACGGGCAGTGGGAGACTGAGCCCTGCGCCGCTGGCTGCGTCCTCGGTAATTCGCTCGGATCTGTCCCTAAACCCCACTAAGCTCCCGATAACACCAGCTGGGCTGCGCGCTCACTCCGGGCAGCTGGGAGGGGCAGGGAGGCCTGGTGACAAATTCAATTAAGAGGTGTAAAATGCAGTGAGAAGGAAAAGAAATCGCGATGGTGAAAACAGGTGCCATCTTGAGTTCTTTTCTTGGCCCTGTGACCCTGTAACTTTTTTATTACACTTTACACACGGAGACCAAAAGCACCTGCAGGTTAGAGCTCACTATCCTCTTCCTTGTTGCTCTCTTTTCCTTGCCTGGTGATGATTGTATCTGATATACAGTAGCGCCATTCCTGGACCCGAGCTCTAACCTGTTTTCTCACAGAGGAATAGGGCCTTTTCTGTACATCTCTGGTTATTTTTTTAACAGGAATGACTTGGAGCTGGGGAACTCCAACTGGCATTTTGAGACTCATATTTTAATCTGAATTTCACATGGTCTAATGAAATAAAATGGTATTTTA